AATACACCATAAAAAATCAGTATCTTAATTACACACAAGTAATTCTGTATGTGCAATCAAAATACATTACATTAGCAGTAAAACATTTTCAATTTGTAATTTGTTTAGAAACCCTGAAAAAGATGTACATAAATGTTTTGTTTACATCCCCTTAACAACCAACCATTGTTCAACTAGAATCACAGAACACTAGTCAGTAAAATTAGCCAAATCTCAAATCCTAGTGATAATGCAAAATAGAAAGGAATGATTGCCTTAATATTTTCTCCTTAAAATCAGCTGAAACTGAATGCTTCTGCATTGTAGCATGATCACAAAGCAGAGACTCAGTTCATAAAATGCAGTTCAACATTACTTAGAAATATAACTTTAAATGAAATTAAAAAGGATAAGAACAGACCTATGAACCAACCACCCAATTAATAAAAGACATGGAATCCTCAATTCAGTTTATCTATCCACAAAGGGGTAAAGTCTTACCTTTTCTAATCTTCTTAATAACAAGTCCTTCTTTGAAAGCTGTGCTTCTTCACTTGTTAATTTTTCACTTTCATCAAGTGCTTCTCTGCTTCCACTACTCACTGATTTCACTAAGTCTGATTTTGATTCACTTAATAGACAGGAATCATTTAATAAGAAATCACTGGTTCCTTCAAGTACAAAATTTTCCTTATTATTTAAAGTTTCCAAAATATCACTGTTAAGATTATGGGCAATATTATTATTTATAGCACCAGTATTTTCTTCCAATTCATTTGTCTTGCTAGTGTCCAAAGCTCGACTACTGATTTTCTCGAAACTCTCGGGTGTCAGCAAGTCTAACACTGTACGATCTTCCACTGAATCAATCCAAAACTGCACTAGGCTCCGGCCTTTTGCTTCTTTGTAGTTTGTCAAGAAATATTTCTGCGTTTCCCCTGAAATAAACATTTTGTATGAAAATATAAACCTTGTATGAGCATACAAATTTCAAAATCAATCCTTTTTTATGATCTTTCCCAAGTTGTTGACAATCATAAATAATACAAACAATTTCCCTACTTTTTCACAAAAAATCTGTAATGATCAAAGATCTTTACTTTAACATTGAAATAATCTCATATTATTAAAAATATATAAATAAAATAAAAAATAGTGATATCTCCATTGGCTTCCATATCAACAATGTAATACTACAACAAAAGCACACTAAAGTTATTTCTTCTTTTATAGAAAACAAAATGAAAAAAAACTCCAATAACCTTCTAATTACTATAGATAAACTTACAGTCTCTGTATACACCAGCATGGGCTAGCATGTGCTCCACCAATCGTGGGTATTGACCAAGCTGCAGAACATGGCGTCCTTCGTTGCTCAATATGGTGCACACATTGAAGGCAAAGTCATGCTCATTGGGCATCGGCGAGATGAGGGAAAGTGCGAGTTTATCATATGGAGAAGGCCTGTATAGTGCAGAAGACAGCCCAGCACCAACTCTTATAGCTTCTGTTATGGAGAGAAATAAAGTATATCAAATACAAATCTTCAGAAATAGATTCAAAATACAATTACTCAGAAGCATATGAAAAACCATTACAGGAAATCTTCACTGTGCTCAAAAGCAAATGCGAAACCACACTTACACACTGCAAATATAAATATACAAGATAAGACCAGGAAGTCAAAAAGGCTAACACACCTTCTCATCACAGCTGCTCCCCCTTACTTACCTACAACATTGTGCTGTTGGTGGTTATACGAGAGAGGCACAGTGTTAAGAGATCTGATTGTACGTTTGGCTCGCATGGATCGGGAGTCTTCCCCGTCGTCCATCTCTGTCCCACGTTCTTCGCCATCTTCGCCAAGAAAATTGATACGCTCATATGCATCAAGGTATCTGGAAAAACAAAAATAACTTGTTATGCATCAAGATTTTCATATAAATACCATTAGTCACTTTCGATTAATCAATACAAATGATAACCGAATTACTGGATCTGAAGGTGTTTACTGCTCAATATCTTAGATATTTCACTACTGAAAACACTTTGTTATTGTTGTTGTAATGAACTGCTAACCAAGTAACAATCACAATTTTATTTTCAATTGATGAGGAAGTGCATGTATACATGTATGGTTATTAACTGTGTAAACACATTCATGTTCCAAAGTATTTACTTATCAAGGAGTCATTCACTACCTGTACCTAATAATTGTAATAATGATGAAAATATGGTGAATAAAAATGACAAGTAAAATTCTAAAACTTAAGAAATGCGGTTGACAAAAGAAATCATGTAGGCCAAGTAATTTGGTTCCTTCTTAACTAAGCACTTGTGAAGCAATGTATGAAGAAACTTAACTATTACAAACAAAATCACTGGACAGTGCAAGTACCCAAAGCATCAATGGGTTAAAGAGATTCACTAAGCACCCCATATAGATGCATTTTCATGTGTGTTTGTGTGTGTACTTTTATCAGTATGCATGTGTGTTTGTGATCATTAGTGTGTGCGTGAGTGTGTTTACCATATCTACATGCATAAGCAGGTATATATATAATCAAAGATGCCTGTGTATATTTTCGAAGCTAAATTCATTAACCAAGTCAATTTTCATTTGCATAGCCTGTGATTTTCTTGCCAAGAAATAAGCTTTTAAAACATTCCAAACAGCTACTTCAAAACCGGAAACCTATCATTTGTGTTCCAATTACCCGCCCAGATTTCCCCGGGTAAGACCAAAGAAAAACACACTGGGCGATTCTTCCCCGTAACTGCCTTCCCGAAGCTACCCCTACCACTCCCCCCATCCCCCAACCACACACTCCATGAAGACCGGGAAAGCATCCTTCATGAGCATATACCTGTTCTTCCCCTCTCCCTAACCTTGCCCACAACACCAAAGGTAAAAAAAAACACCCGCGTGCCATAAACATCACCTATTCCTGATACCATGGTGTGTTAAATCTCTTTTCAACTGTCTCTTTTCTTATCTTGAGTACACGCTTACATAGTTGCACAATTATGGAAAAGTAGACACGCAGATCAATCCCAGCCCCCATATACGTACCCCCCAGGAATACATTAAATCGCCACGCCTGATGAAAATTGGCAGACTCCCAATCAATCCCTAAATCATGATCACAGCTCCAAGCAGCACCTAACCAATGCAATCAAGCCGGCCGCCGCTCCCTAAAGCATGCGGCCGCTCAAAATTTCCCTTGAAATGATTCATCCAAGCACCCATCATCCCTTTGAGGGCCGCACATCATCTACTTCCCCGCCACCCACACACAAGCTAAAAATGGCTACCTCCCGTCCATACATAAGCCTTTGTTTCGCGTTTCGGGTCTTTAGTGTGGGCTTTCCCGCCTGCGAGATATTAAAATGACCCAAGGATCGAATTCCGCCTCAAATTCAAGCTAAAAAGAATCCAAAGCGTGCATTTATTTCTCGCTTTGCATGGAGCAATATTAGGGCATTTTGACAATGTGGCTCAGACGCGGCAACTAAATAAAGAAAACGAGTTTTAATCGTTGCGTCATACGTTACAGACATGGAACCATATATCTCTATGTACAGATACGTTCCGTAGAGATACAGCTTCATATCCCCACAGGAGGGCATCAGTGACATGCATCACATTAAAATAGGAACGAGTCTGATATCACGACATGCGGCAGCAACAGAGGCAGGGGCGCCAGCAGTGGGCAGGTTAGCTCACACGTATGCACATTACTCCGCTTCCCATGAAACCAAGCCCAGCCCTTCATGCCCATGTGGCCCAAGCTCCTCGGTGAAATAAGCTAATATTCCTGTAGAAATCAAGGCATGCAGGGGCTCCAGAGACAGGTAAAGAGGAAGATAAGAGAGAAGAGAACAGAGTATTGATCGGCCTCCCGCAGCCCAGCCCTGGCGCGCACACGTGAGGCAGCCCCGCGCTAATCTCAGTACACACATCCACATGGCGCACCAGCCCTGCACACACGCGCACACGCACACTCGCATACACATAGGCACCTGCCCTGCCGCCCTCCCTCTCCCGATAACGCTTCTGATCTTCGGCGCCCTTCGGCATCGTCGTCGTCGTAATTATTTTATTCGCTAAAGTTTGTCTCTACCAACTTCTTCCCCCATGGCCACCACCCAGGACGAGAGGAGGTACCTCTCGCTTGGTCACCACTCCCGCCCAAACCTTTTCATTACTCCCGACATAAAATGGCTTAAAATAAATATTTCGGCTTAATTCTCATTAACAGAGTTTTCGGCATGACAGTCTTAACTTCTGATACGAAAACGCCGCTCACGAAAGCTACTTCTGGCCACCTGCACAACATACAATATACCGGTAGGAATTTCGAATAAACCTGAAGTTCTTGATATCAAGACACGTATCAAGTGGTGGCCGTGGTGCCGATGAGGCTACGAAAAAATGATTAAAATATTCTTAAAAATTATCTGCACTCTACCACATCACCATAATCATCATCAGACTTGATAAAACAAGGAACAAACAAACAAACAAACAGGAGAACGACACATCATGCCCCTCTCAGAGAAAATACCCGCCACATCCACCGGCTTCCCTCTACCTTTCAATTCCTACGATAAGTGCTGAGAGAGAAACAAACGGAAGGTAAGGTTAGTGTGTGGATGGCACGAGGCAGCAACAGTTGCTTCGACACCCCCCTACCCCCTACTCCCTACCCTACCCCACACACCCAACCCCACCACCCACCACCTGGCCACAGGAGAGCGTACAATTCTGTCTCGATCTGCAAAATAACGCTAAGGTCTTTAAGGCTTTTCATTTCACCCGGGGTCTTCGATACTATTCACGCGCTTGTGGCGTGGAGTATGAGACGCAAGTATATTTAAAGTCCCGTTGAAGTCTGGTAAAATGTAAACGACTGAAAAAAATGCAGAGACAGCACCAGGCTCCCTTGTGTGGATGGAGATGCCTTGGGGGAACACTTAAGCCCTCAGGACAGGCATAATTATCAACAACTGCAGAGAACCAAGCGACTCCTGTTGGTATGTTCAGTGACAACTGTCTGGAAGGCCATTCTGGCGTAGAGGGACTTTCAACGTGCATTGCAACGCTGAAATGCTCAGACACTCGACATCCATTCAAATCTGTTTTGATCGCTTTGAAAAACTGGCTCCAAAGTAAAGGGAAACGTTTCTCCCGCCCCGAGACAAGAAACGGCGCCGACGGATGCTTCAATAACGCCGATCTCTGGCTGGGCACACGTCGCGGGGACCCCCCCCCTCCCCTCAAGCCGACACGTTGCCGAGCCGCCCCTTCCCCGGCAAAAACGTTGGTACAGCGAGATCGACTAAGTGTGCCGAAACGTAAGGCCCACCACGTGGCCTACCATCGATCTGCCTATCCGCCGACCCTGGGTCCTTCACCAGTGGCCGCCGCCTACCCGCTGCAGATGGCATATCAGATAAAACTTAACGTATCTCCGGAGATATACAGTAGGTAACGGTCGTTTTATCCTGGTCGAGATAAGTTACGAAAAACCGAACATTAAGGTTTCGTTTATCAGTGATCAGGGTTGCCACTAAGGTTGAACAAAGGACGCCCGAGGTTACTCGTCTCAAGCCCGTTCTCATGGCGCCCCTCAGGAGGAGGTTCCTTTGAGGACCCCTCAGCGGCTTCCTGCTGACTCCGCCAGGCGCCCCGACCTTCACCTCCCCCGACGACCTATCCGCCAAGCAAAAAGCCCAGAGTGCGGCCAGGGCCAAGCTGTGGCACGACTAGGGTGAGGGTAGGACACGGCCTCAGGTGGTTGTGGTGGTACTGTGGTAGTCTCCGCCCACCGAGGGAGGCCCCGTTATTGAGGGCGGCGAGGCAGGGCCAGCATGAGTCACGGCATGTCCCGCTTGGTTGGCGGACGAGGGAGGCGGGAGGATGTCCGTCCCTGCACTCGAGTTGGGAGCCTCCACCCGGAAGTCGCTCGCTAAACGTTTCTTCGTTCGCACGGCGCTCACTGCCCGCGAGAAACGAACGTGTATGGGGCGCGCGCCGCCGATGCGTACGCGGACGTCCGCCAATATTTACGGAGGAACGGAGAATGCACACGCAAGTTGGAGGAGAGGAGAAGGGGGCGGAAGGATGGGGGAAGAGGAGGATGGAGGATGGAGGAGGAGGGGAGAGGAGGATGGAGAAGGAGAGGGAGGATGGAGAAGGAGAGGGAGGATGAGAGGATGGAGAGGAGAGGGGAGGAAGGAGAGGGAGGATGGAGGGAGGGAGATGGAGGAGAGAAGGAGAGGAGGATGGAGAAGGAGGGAGGATGGAGAGGAGAGAGAGGAGAGAGGAGGAGGAGGAGAGAGAAGGGAAAGAGGTGAAGGTGGGGGGGGGAGGAGAGGGGAGGAAGGAGGGAGAAACTTATCCACCTCCGTTACTTGTTAACATTTCCGGAAATAACAAAGGCGAAAACTCGAGACCATGCCATCCAGTTCCTGCGCGAGTGACTTTATTTATTATTTTTAATCTTGACGCCACTATTCCTTATTATTCATCTTGGACTCGAGAGTGGTTCCCATCGTCCATTCCCTTTAGCACGAAGCTATACGCGGAGGGCAAAAGCTTCCTCCGCTTTGGTACCTCAACATTCTCCCCTCTACTCTCTTATTTTCTTTCCTTTATTATACATCTTACCGTTTCTTTCGTTCTATATTCCTCGTGCCCGCTTTGACAACCCCCCTTCGCTGGAATCACCTCTCATAAAACCCTCTGCTCTCCCCGACATAATAGGGTTTCCTCAATCCTTTCCCCTCTCTCCCACTCTCTTCCCTGCCCGCCTCCCCTTCCCCTTATCTTTCTACTCCCCAAGCCTCGTCCTCTTCCCTTTCCCGTCTCCCTCTCCCGCTCTTTTGTCTTCAC